TAGTTTCTTTCAAAAAAAAAAAATTCAAAAATTCTCTAACTCGAAGTCTCCATAAGTCGGACCTTTTCTTTGCAAAATTGGACTTCGAGTTATGGAAGGTTGACTATATAACAATTCATAAAAAAACTTTATAAAATTTTACAATTTAGTATTTAGTCAATTTAATACATTACATTGGTATAGTAAAAGTTTAATAAATTTTAATCAAGTTTTTATTAAGATAATAAATTAAGAAAATTAATTAAGATAAATTTTAGTTACTCTGACTGTTAATAAAATTGCATACAGATTCCACAAAAATTTGTAAACTTCGTGGTCTGCCATTTTTGCTATCTATCTGTCTGATATTGCAAATAAACTTAAGACACAAATAAATAATATCAACATTAATTTCTTTTACTTAGAAATCGACGCTTTTCAGCAATGGCGTAGCCAAAATTATGCTCATAAGGGCTGGAGGTACTTTTACTAGAATAAAATTTTTTGGGTATGTTTGTCAGGTAATTATCCATAGATTATATTGTAAAGAGTTTGGGAAAATATTTTTGACTGTATTGCAGTGGACTATCTGCTATGTAGATTATGGTGTAAATGGGGTTGCCTATCAACTTAGCTTTGCTTACTACTAACTCATTAGAATCCCAATACTCACATTAATAATATTGACTAAAATTTCCCGCACTTGAAAAAAAAATATAACTTGAATTTTACGGTAAAATCCGTTAGCATTCGCGCTCTGTCGCATCTACAAATATTGTGCAGTTTGCACTTAAACTTCGTACTGTGTAGACGGCTACTAACCAGCTCTAAAATTTTTGTATAACATATATTGTTTTCGAAAAGTTTTTAACATGGATCAAAACAATACTATAGCTCTCTGATTGCCCAACATTGAAATGTTTAATTTACTGCAGATTGAATTTCACTAGTATTATTGTATTACTCATATGGAACTTACATTAATTTAAAATTTGGCAAAAGCTGTGGCCTGTTAAGGTTGTTAAGGTCATTATAAGTTGACATTAACCGACTGAGGAACAAGAGAGTCAAAAAATCCATAGTCGCACACGATGTTTAAGGTGGAGCACCATCTTGCAGAAATTACAGGTGCTGCATAACGTTTTCAGAAACAATTTACATAAAAAATCGGTTGTAGTACTCGGTAATCCATCTGATATATGTACCTTGATATATGCAGTGATCATTCAAGACTTTATTGTTTTCTTAGAGCGCGCAATCTTTTTAAATTATTTTTTTTTCTTCAAGTACGTTCACTTTTCACAATGGAAAAGTTATTTTTTTAACAAACTTAACATAATAATAAATTTTCTGCCTTCAAATGTCCGTAATATAAATTGGAATTAAAATAATAATGATATACTACTCGTAAGGCGAGTATTAAACATGGTTGATCAAGATTTTCTTGTATTTTTTATTTAAATATTCTGTTACTAAATTATTAATTAACGAATAGAAATGGTTATAGCAACACTTTAGAAAATTTTTAGTATGGTTTTCAAGCGATACTAAATCCTTTTCAAACACTTGGTTGGCAAGAAGAACACTACACGCTAGAAAATTATGTATAATGATATATATATTTTGTTAATACATGATAAGTTACCAACAACAACAAAATTTTTTTGTTTTAATTTAAATATAATATGTATTCCATCTAATAAGGTTGACATTTTACAAGTTTTTGATACATAACAAATACTTCAGACATGATAACTTACAATTTAGGAGAGCTGTGGAGAGCTAATATTTTGTTTTTTAATTAAGATTTATAAATTGAAATTAATTTAAAATATTAAATAATACTCTAAATTAATAAATCTTATTAATAAATCTAATTAAAAATCTAAATAATTAAATTCAAAAAAAAATTATTATAATAACCAACATTTAAGTAATTAAGTTTTGGAAACCATGCTTACTCACAGGATTTCCTTTAACTTAACTTTAATTAATATTTTAAAATAATTATTTAATATTAAGGTATTAAATTCAATTTATAATGTTAAATTTCATTCTTTATTCATAAAAGTATTTTACCGAAAATGAATATAAGTAAAGACGACCTTGAAATTATTCTGCCATAAGTGGAATTGTTTCACAAATTTCGAAGTCAGAATCATATCTACAGGTTTTTCGAAAAAAACAATGCACATTTCCAACAAAAAGAAAAATTCTATTTTGGTCAAGGACTTTGAAATACAAAAACAAAACAATATAAAAAATATGGAAAATGGTTATTTCTCCTTTTCGAAAAATACCGAATAAAATTTTCTCCAATCAGAGAATATTTTTCGTATTCGAAAAAAAGTATTTTGGGGAACTGAAAAAAAGCAGAGCGAGCATATAAATATAAATTTTGAAAGCGGGGTAATATTTCTATATCGAATTTGGAGAGGGTCTTATAAAACCAAAACAGTGAGTAGCAAAGAGCGAGAATTCAACAAATTAAATTACACGTGATGCATTTCGAAACATGCAACAGAACGGACAGCTCAACAATTGGCAGAGAAAAAGTAGCTTCCATTTGTCATACAGATTACAAGTGAAACCAAAAACGGGGATGAGAAAATGTTTCGGAAGTATTCTTGTTACCCACCCCAAAACGATATGTAAGCACGTGAGACGTGAGTATAAAGTTTCTTGTATTGTTTGTACGTGCCGCACTCAATACGGGGTGCCAAGGGTGAGTTCTTATTCGATTATCCTACAACTTCTGTGTTTTTGAATTCCAAAATCATTGCTAGTAATGCACCAGTGAAGAGCGGACCGCCGTCGGTAGTCGTAGGACTTGCTTGTTGCTTGAGTATTTGATGGTATAAATTTGTGTATTTTCCGTGTAGTGAATTCAGTTTGAAAAGCGTTTGGCTTGAGAGCGGACGTGACAACGGAGTTTGTGGCAGTTGTAATTTTTGTGAACACGTAACGTAAAAGTACAGAGCGTGCATATTTTAAATATTAATCACACGGAAAATATTTTTAAAAATTTTTAAATCTTCATAAAATAATTAAAAATAAAATTTCAAAAAAATGGCTATACCATTTTTCGAGCCAAAAAATGCATCTGACGAGCAAGCAGTCGATCAAGTTGATGGTCCGATTAACACAACCGCAGTACCGACCACACATAATCCTATACTGGTTGACACTGTAGCAGCGGCGGAAAGTTCTGACGAAAATGTAACTAATAGTCAATCAACACACACGGATCCTAACGAAAAATTGGCATGGAAGATACTTGCCTTGGGTTTGTGTAAGGCTCTGAAGGAATATTATTTGCAAACTGCTAAGTCGAATAATGCATTTAGTAGTGCTTTGGTGCTGGTTCTACCGAATGGAGAGGTGCAACCTGTTTGGAAGTAAATTATTAAACAACTTTTCCGTTCCATTAAGTATTGCTTTGAAATTTATAATTTTTTATTAGCTCCGATAAGCAATTTTGTGATTAGTTGTTCAATACAACTTAATAAAAAAATTCCTTAGGAAATATATAAAAATAATTTTCTTAGCATTTTAATACTTAAGTCCTTTTATAAGCCGTCGGAAAATTTTATTGTGAGGAAACGAAAATTTGCAAGAGAAAATAGTTCGCAATTTTGAGATAAGCGCAATTGTGATAGTGAAATTGTTTTATTTCATTAAAGATACTGTTAAACATACTATTATATATGTTCAATTAAGAATTAATTAAAGTCTCCAACGAATACTAATGTAGAGTTTTATACAATTTTTTAAATCTTAATTAGCTATAAGTTAAATTTTAATCAGTACTTTTTCATAATACTTCGCAGTTTTTAAAATCTCAATGTCTATTTATATACAATCATAAAACTATAAAAACTATACCAAACAAAATTTTAATATTAATGTATAAGCTTTTTATGAATATAAAAAATTTTCATTTAAGGAAAAAAATATATTTTTGTATTTATTTTGCCAGTAGTAAGTGTACATGTATCCATTAACTTGACAGAAAAAATAAGATTATTTTGAAAATCAACCAAATTTTATTTATAGATGTATATTAAACAATATATGGTAACAGAATGAATAATTATGCTAAATATAAGAACTTTTGTATATGAGCATTAAATAGTACAATCTACAGTAGAAATTTCAACTCTCATAAGACTTTATGTATTACAAGAATATATAATAAACTGACATGAATGTAAAATTTAAATTTGTATTTGATTTCCATAAAATTAAATAAGGTTTTTTAGATTTAATAACAACACTATTTATTTGGATGAAAAGATTCAGATATTGTCTTTATTAATTCAACTGAAGAGGACAAGACACACCAAACCCTCTTAATAAAACAATCACTACTGATTTGGTATATGAGACAACTACAAGAGGATATAAAAACTTTATTCATTTAATGAAATATTCTATATAAATATAAATAAAAACTACATTTTTCATCCCATAGTACTCTTACCGCAAACTTTTCTCCTAATTTTTTCTTCTCTATTGGTCATCCGTGGTGTGTTCTTCCGGTATCAGTACATTATTCTTCCGCATTAAATCAATAACTCTGTTATTCATAGATATTTTTCTATGCTTTATATAAAACTTATAGCGTCTAAACTTTTCAGCAAAATATGAGGCCATCTCAAAAAATCATTAGCTCAGCTAAAAAGAATTTAAGCGAGGGAGAAAAAATCTGCCGATAGCCGATGGGTGTTACAATAAAACTAATGCAGATTATCAGGTTCTCGCAATATCGATAAAATGTGGCGCACCTAGAGTAAGCAATAAATGAGGTCTCTCTAAGTAACTCCATTAAATGACAATTCAAAATTCACATAATTTTACGGACTATACTGCTTGCCGGCGGGTGAAAGTTTTATCAATGCATATAAAGCTTATTTTAAAATTTATAGCATAAAGGTTTTTTACAACAATTTCTTAAGTCCTAACTGACACTGGTACAGTCTAACCTATAGATCTATATCAACTTTACATGTAAAGTAAAATGTTATTATATAGATTATCTGTTCGAGCTAATTAAATTTGATTAGGTTGAAATGGGTACAATTTTAAATGATTGCTAATAAAGATTTTAAAATTTTAGGTCCAGATAACAAGAATATTTTTAACAATAAGAATGAGAAGAAATGGCGCAATTTTTATGTTATTCAAATTACAAGGATTTTTAAAAATGGTAATAAAAAGGATATATTAACTAAAAACAATAAATCAAAATATTTAAGTATATAAAAACATGATTTTTACAGCTTTTAGAATTTTATTCACAAGAGATAATTAATTTAATATAAAGGGATAGGAAATGTGTCATACATTTTTTTTTGTAAAAGTTACAGATAACCTTAAACAATTCTTCATAATTATTCCTTTCTAACGACCGGCGACATTGATTCGTATTTATATATACTCTTAACATATATGCGTAAACCAATTACCTGAACAGTGTTTAAATAAATGTATTTAAATAAGTTCAATACTTGCAATAGAAAATAAGGACCTCATAAA